GTGGCAGCGGTAGTGAGGTTGGCCCAGGATCGGCCATTGTTTCGTTCTGCTGTGCATGGGGTCACTATGAGTCGGTTCCAACAACATGTTGTTGTTCCAACAACAACAACTGACATGATGTTATAATGTGTCTGAACAGAATCTAGTCTGAGGTACTAAGAAAGATAGGACATCGGAGCAACATGAATTCTGCTAAAATTAAAGAACAAACGTCAAATTGATGGGGACGTTTGGGTGAAAGAACAGTGAAATCACTGATGCTTTATGAAAAGCTCATGGGGACAATGTTCCAAAGAAATCAGCAGTTTACAAATGGATAAAGTTTTAAGAAGAGATGGGATGCTGAATGGTAGCCCATCCACGTCAGTTTGGGAATAAACAATCTTGGCTTTACTTTCATTGAAGAGGACCAACAGTTAACAGCAGAAATAATAGCCCACACCACAACCACCCACTATCACCGAGTCAATTCCAATTTATAGTGACCCTTTAGGGCATAACAGAATGGCCCCTTAGGGTTTTCAAGAATGTAAAACTTTATGGGAGTAGAAAGCCTCATTTTTCTCTCAGAAGTCACTGTTTTGATTAGGCCTTTTTGTACCCTGTAGAGACCCCTAGATACTAAGATAAGTATATTACTGAGAGAACATGTCTGTATCCATCTACTAATCACAAAAACTCTGTGTCTGGAGTGAACCTATGCCTACAATAAGTTGGAAGGCTAGTAGCAGTACTTTTTGACTTACCCTAATATATTCATTCCAGACACTCATCAATTACCCAAATTGCAGTTCAAAAAGCAAAAGGTTTTGTCAGAAAAGTAAATAGCTTTGAAATCAAGACATTAATTAAAATTACATTAAAACGGGCACATTATTTAATCTTTGTATTTAACCTCCAGGAGATTCCGTTCCTTCCTCTATAAAATGAGATTCAATGACACCAACCTTGAAGGGGTCAAATATAATAAAGTACCGTCACGTGGCAATTTCTCAAGAATTATTAGGAATGACAACGTTCTCTTTCAGGGAGAGAAAACGATGTTTTGACACATCTAAGAAATATGCAAAGTAGAGCAGGGGTTTTGCTTAGAATAAGGGCCATTTTTACTACTCTCTGAGTTTATCACACAAGAGAATGCACCTAGTAAGTGTCCAATTAATGTTTCTGCAATGAATATATGTCAAGGTTCTTGCTTTTATTGCAGAACAAAGTAGTTGCTGGACAAATTACTGAGGGTCTTCTGTGCATAGGGTACTGTTTGTGTGCTTTCTGTACCTATAGGGTCGCTGTAAATTGGAACCGACACGATGGCACTTAAAACAACAACAAAATCTCTTTCTATATCTGCATCATCTCAAACATGTATGAACTTTCTCTTGCTCATACATGTTTTGCCCAATATGAAAAAATTTTTGAGTAATTCTGTGTGCCCTGGGCAAGATCTGTCGCCCCAGAAAGAGTCCCTCATCGCGACCCAGGCCTTTAGCGTGCAGTCCCTTTGGTTTTCACACGGACCTGGAGGCCCAGCCACACCATACCCCTCAGTGCTCTGACCCGTACCCCTTGTTGTTGCTTCCGGACGGTGGGCTTCACCCGCGCGAAAATCTGGATAGTCTGCTTCACCATCTCTTCCCGGAATCTGCATTGACCCTTGACCTCTCTCAGGCCCGGGCTCCCCAAACTTCAGATTCCCTGCGACCCGCAGCCTTAGCAACAGTAACTAGGGACACTACCCAAGTAGCACCGCGACAGGACCCCACCTCCTCTCCCTAATTGGCTGGTGGGCGGCCCAGAAGGGAAGGGCTGATAGGCGGAGTCGGGGCGGGGCCGAGAGGAGAAGCTGAGCATGCGTGTGACACCTGGCGCGAACAGTAGTTACCAGGGCCTGTGTATGTGCCTTCCCCTGTTCCTCATTCCGTTCTTTTCTTGGGCCATCATTTTAGCACGTAAGTCATTCTGTTTCTATCAGAACAACTAACATAAAAAATAGTGACACTACCAAATGCTGACAAGGATGCAGAAACTGGGTCATTCATACACTGCTCCTGAGGATATGTGATGTATAATGGTATAGCCACTATGGTAAACAATTTGGCTGTTTCGTACAAAACGAAGTATGCAGCTACCAGAAAATCAAGTAATTACACTCTTAGGCATTTATTTCAGAGAATAAAACCTTGTGTTCATTTAAAACCTGTACACAAATTTTCATAGTAGCTTTATTCATCATAGCACCAAACTTGAAAACAACCCAGATATTCTTCAATGAGTGAATGAGTAAATAATGTGTGGAATAATACTGAGCAATGAAATTGAAGGAACTTCAATTTCCAGAGTGAGTGAAAAAAGTCAGACTCAAAGGTTATACACTGTGTGATTTCATTAATATAACATAACATTCTTGAAATGACAAAATTATAGGGATGGAGAACAGAATAATGTATTGATTTTTATGCATTCCATTTCATTTTTGATGACTTACAATTTTTTCTAGGTTCATATTTCATACATTCCACTTTTCAATTATTAATGGATGTTTCCAGCTATTTCTTCTCATTTTGAGTCGAGTCCCATGAACAAATGAAGATCCCAAAAGCTTTGCTCCATCCTTAACATTAAGGTGAATTCTAAGAAGGTAACGCTTCCCTAGTTGTAATTTTTGAGTGCCTTCCAACCTGAGTTACTCATCTTCCAAAACTGTATCAGACATTGTTTTGCTTCTCTTCATAAGATTCCCAGTGGCTAATCTTTCAGAAGTGGTCCACCTCTCCTTTTTTCTAATCTGCCTTTAGCCTGGTAGCTGTGCTGAAAACTGTCTACCATGGATTGCTCTTCTGATATTTAAAATTCTAATGGCATAGCTTCCAGTGAACTTCTGGTGTGGCATTGTGAATCAACACTGGACTGCGAACCACAAGGTTGGCAGTTCAAACCCACCAGCTGCTCCTCAGAAACCCTATACAAGCACTTAGCAACAACAACAACTTCCAGCATCACAGCACTACAAAAGTTATCACGATACAACAAACGGACAGACGGATGGTGGTAGGAAGGCGTTTGTAACCTAGATTAAGGTTTCAGTGAATTTGTGAGCTCAGAAGTCAGTCAGGTTGCGGGCGACTGAGGAGTAACTGAGAGGGTAAGAAGTAGTGGCTTGGAAGCAGTCAAGATAGGCTGCTTTTTCCAGAAGTTTGGTTGTAATATTAAGGGAAGTACAAACACAGAGTGAAAACTAAAGGGTCCCAGGGGGAAGGAAGGGTCTTCTGTTCATATCTAAGAAGAGAAAGTCAATAATAAAGGGGAGGCTGGAGGTACAAGAAAGAGAGAAGTTAACGTGTGATGTGAAGTGGCTTCATACCCCAAAGGCAGTCCTGTGAAGGAGGTAGCAGAGTGGGCCCTCAAAGGGAAGCCCACAGAACCAGTAAAAGGGGCCTATATAAGTCTTGTCAGAGTGGCCCCAGCATTCACCCCAGACAAATCATTGACATGTTATCACGAAAGTGCTGGGTAAAATAAAGAGGGAAGGTAGCTGGTATTTTCAAAAGAGTGCTTAAGTGTTGAACTGCTTAAAGATGTTAGAGAAGTCCGTGGGGAATAAGAAAGTACTACTTGATAAATGCACCACTCATCTGTCAGATTGTCCTACTGTGGTAGATTGCATACTGTGGCAGTTTGGAGTCCTGATGTGGCACTCTAGAAAAAGCTCTGAACTACTAACCACAACGTCAGGGCTGCAAATGCAGCAAGCACTCCTCGGCAGCCCTATACAGGGCCACTATGACAGCACTTGGCAACAACACAACAAGGAAAACCAGTTAATCTCACTATGGTTCAACTTTGCACACCAACAACTAAAGCCAATGATGATAACATTGAGCAATTCTGCCAGCTTCTTGAGTCTGAAATTGATAAAACATGCAATCAAGATGTATTGATAATCACTGGTGTTTGGAATGCAAAGGTGAGAAAAAAAAAAAAAAAGAGGAAGGATCAATAGTTGGAAAATATGGCCTTAGTAACAGAACTGATACTGGAGATCACATGACAGAATTTTGCAACAACAACCATTTCTTCATTTCAAATGCTTTACTTAACACCTCAAAAGGCAATTATACGCATAGACTTCACTAGCTGGAATACACAGGAACCAAATCAACTACATCTGTGGATTTAGTTGGAAAAGCTCAATATCATCAGCCAAAATAAAGCAAGGAGCAGAATGTGGAACAGACCATCAATTGCTCATATGTAAGTTCAGACTGAAGCTGAGGAAAATGAAAACAAGTCCACAAAAACTAAAATATGATCTTGAAGATATTCCACCAGGATTTAGATACCAACTCAAGAACAGATTTGATGCATTAGACATTAGTGACAGAGGACCAGATGAGCTGTGGTATGATATCAAGAACATCATATAGGAAGAAATCAAAAGGTCCTTAAAAAGACAGGAAAGAAAGAAAAGACCAAAATGGATGTCAGAAGGCATTCTGAAATTTGTTCTCCAGCACAGAGACACTAAAGCAAATGGAAGAAGTAAGAAGGTAAAAGAGCTGAACATAAAATTTCAAAGGGCAACTCAAGTAAGACAAAGACAAATAGTATATCAAAATGTGCAAAGACCTGGAGTTAGAAAATCAAAAAGGAAGAAAATGCATGGTATTTCTCAAGCTGAAAGAACTGGAAAAAAAAATTTTTTTTAAAGCTTCTATTTGAAATATTGAAGAATTCCATGGGCAAAAGATTGATGCAGAAACTATCAAAAGAAGATGGAAGGAATATACAGAGTCACTGTACCAAAAAGAAATGGCCAATGTTCAACCATTTCAAGAGGTTGTATATGATATCAAGAACTGATGGTACTGAGGAATAATCTCAAGTTGCACTGAAGGTATTGGTGAAAAACAAGACTCCAGGAATTCACAGACTACAAATTAAAATCTTTCAACAAGCTGATGCAGCACTGTAGGCACTCACTCATTTATGCTACTAAATTTGGAAGACAACTACCTTGCCAGCCAATTGGAAGAGATCCATATTTGTGCCTATTTCGAAGAGAGGTGACCAAATGGAATGCAGGAATCATTGAACAGTATCATAATATTACATGCAAGTAACATTTTGCTGAAGATAACTGAAAAATGGCTGCAGCGGTGTGTCAGCAGAGAACAGCCAGAAATTGAATCCAGATTCAGAAGAGGATGTGGAACTGGCAATATAATTGCTGACATCAGATGAATCTTGGCTAAAAGCAGAGAATACCAGAAAGATATTTATTTGTGCTTTATTGACTATGCAAAGGCTTTCGACTATGTGGATCATGACAAACTATAGATAGCATTGCGAAGAATCGGTATTCCAGAACACTTAATTGTGCTCATGAGGAACCTATGCACAGATCAAGAGGCAGTGGTTTAAACAAGACAAGGATATACGTATTGGTTTAAAATCAGTAAAGCTTTACACCTGGATTGTATTCTTCTACCATACTTATTCAATCTGTATGCTGAGCAGATAATCTGAGAAGATAGATTATATGAAGAAGAATGTGGCATCAGGATTGGAGGAAGACTTATTAACAACCTGCTATATACAGATGTTACAACATTGCTGAAATGAAGAAAATTTATTATACTGATGAAGATCAAAGACTGCGGCCTTCAGTATGGATTGTACCCCAAAGTACAAAAAAACAAAAATGATCACAACTGGACCAATAAGTAACACCATGGTAATGAAGAAAGGATTGAAATTGTCAAAGACTTCATTTTTCTTGGATCCACAATCAACATCCATGGAAGCAGTAGTCCAAAAAAATCAAAGGACACATTGCATTAGGCAAATCTGCTGCTAAAGACATCTTCAAATTGTTTAAGAGAAAATATATCAGTTTGAGAACTAAGGTACACATGAAGATCAAGATTTGTTAATAAAGATCAAGAAAATACTCAAGCCATGGTATTTTCAATAGCCTTATATGCATGTGAAATGTGGACAATGAATAAGGAAGATCAAAGAAGAGTTGATACATTTGAGTTATAGTATTGTTGTTGTTGTCAAGTACTGTGGAGTCAGTTCTGACTCATAGTGACCCTGCACAGGGTTTCTGAGGCTGTAAATCTTTACGGGAACAGAACACCTCATCTTTCTCCCACGGAACCACTGGGAGTTTCAAACTGCTGACCTTGAGGTTGGCAGCCCAACTCATAACCACTACGCTACCGGAGCTCCTAAAGGATATTGAAAGTACCATTAACTTCCAGAGAACAAACAAATCTGTTGGATTAAGAACAACCAGAATGCACCTTAGAAGCAACAATGGCGAAACTTCATCTCTCACACTTTTGACATATTATCAGGGAAGACCAGTCCTTTGAGAATGACATTATGCTTGGTCAAGGGGAGGGTTAGCAAAAAAGAGGAAGGCCTCTGATGAGATGGACTGACGTGGTGACAGCAACAATGGGCTCAAGTGTTACCATCTATTATGATGATGGCACAGGACCAGGAACTGTTTCATTCTCTTGTGCATCATTTCACTATGAGTCAGAACCGACTTGAGGGCACCTAACAACAACAACAAACCACCAATAATCAATACAGACTATTAATAACTGGTATTTGTT